GAGCCTAGAATCTCTACATTGCCACAAGCGAACTAAGCCCACCCCCCCTTGAATTCTGTAGACTCTTATCTAACTCCTGTCAGGTGCTAACTATTAGTTGAGAATATGAATAGCAATAAATCAGTTTAATTGGACTTTCACAGTATGTACTTGATCTTTCACACCTGACAAGGTTCTCTTCCAATGGTTCTCTTTTGATAAATTATGTCAGACTGAAGATAGTTAACCATGTTACTAAGCATGGACTTCGGTGTCTGACTGTGAAGAAACTAATTCACAGAAGGACAATTTTTCATTGATTTTTCTTGTTTTGCTTTTAATTAATTATCGTGGAGTTTGAAAATGTTTTCTCCATTGTGTCAATCTCTTGTCTTTGATGTGGCCTTAAAATGTGATAAATTAAAAACAATTACATAACAGATGGTTTCAAAAGTACTTGCTTATGGGGACTAATGACCCAAGGCAAATGTACTTATCTAATACTTCATTACAAAGAAGAGAATATAAGTAGCTTAAGTTTGAACTGTGGAGCCTTTGGAGCTCTCTGAACATGCTTGTTTATTTGCAGACATTTCATTACTTAAATAGGTAACATCATCCGTGCTAGTGAGTATGGGGTTGACTCCCTGTTTATATACAGTAGCTTGCCCTGCCAGTATTGGAGGGCATATAGTTTTCTCCTTGGTAGTTTCTTGATTGGGAAATTGTTTTCTGCTTGTTTATCTGGTGTTAATCAAACATTTTTTTAAAAAGTTGCGAGAGTATCCATTTTGTTGGCAGATGTTGTATAGGTGGTCTGTTTTCTTTTTTCTGGTGTTCTGAGTTGCTGCAGTACGTTTGTACTTGTCTGAATAATATTCTTACACAACTCCTCTTGTAGGATTACAAACTCATTGTTTGAAACCGACATTGTGACATAAAAAGTTGGACCACGAGCGACCACGGAAACAAAGAGATAGGTCTGTATTTAACGGGAAAGGACCGTATCACAAAAGGTTTACACAGTACAGTTCCCGACCGACTCCTACTATCCTCAATATCGGATTGTATAGACCTCCTTTGGTCCAACCCTTTCCGAAGACATAATAATAAACAATGGTTCATATTAAATAATGGAGGGGGAGGGGGGGAAACACTCAGAAACCGCCAAGATTTATATGTGTCTTTCCTTTTACAATTAATCAGAATAACAATAACAATTAATTACAGCTCACATGTACAAAACATCTCCCAGCCTTCCTTCCACACCTACATGTATGATTCATTGTGACTTGCAGGCATCATCCTACATCCCACAGTAATAACCATGAATGTCACACGAGGACAGGAAGTGAAGGCTCTCACTCTACCTAACTGAACCCCGGAGGAAACAAGAGTTCTGCTGATGACTTAAGCACCTTTGATTTCCTACTCAAATATAAGCACATCCATTTTCAGGCAAATCCACCAGATGCACCCCCAGAAAGGCAAGGCTTATGCGAAGGCTTCTAAAAGAAAAAAGCAAGCATAACACCCCTCATCGATACTCTTGTGAAGTGCCACACTGTGATTCACAAAGAGAGCCACACCTTTTGAGTCATTGTTACTAAGTACTTCCTGCAACAACTTAGCCTTCCACAGGAGCTTTCTGCTGCTTTTGACAGTCTATTTCAGGGGTAGGCAACCTTGGCTCTTTTATGACTCGTGGACTTCAACTCCCAGAGCCATGCTGGCTCAGGAATTCTGGGAGTTGAAGTCCACGAGTCATAAAAGAGCCAAGGTTGCCTACCCCTGGTCTATTTCAATGAAGAAATAGTTTGATCGGAGGAGGTCCAGATTGTGCGATGGAAGTTATCAGTTATGCATTAAACAACAGGTGGTTAAATAGTGTATATGATGTATAATGCATCTGCAGTACTATGCTTTCCTCTTGACATTCTTGGAAAGCAAGGTGGAATAATAACTAAAAATACATTTGCAACAAAACTTAAATAAGGTTAATAGCATTTACTACAATTCATCCCTGTGCTTTTACCTCTTGATAAATTGGATTGATATCTGCTAATTTATTTTGTATAATACACTCCTTCCTTCCTTCCTTCCTTCTTTCCTTCCTTCCTTCCCAGCATTATCTTTAACTAGGAGTAGCTTGGTCCTAACTCAGTGAAAATTACAGTATAACATTGATAATAAAGATATCAGACTGGTTTTTTAAAAAGTGGATGTTAACACCCTGACAATGATACTATGGGGAAATGATACTAATGTACGGAGTTGAAATTACCATTCAAATAAATTCAGGAATATCCAGTTAAAGAAATACTATTCACAGAATATTGAAGATATTTGACAAATAACTACCTACTTTGTCTAAATTCTCTTAGCCAAATCATACACTCTCATGATAGTCCAGTAATGACTACTAGAGTAGTTTCTAATCAAAATACCCTCTGAGCTTCTAGGAGGTATCTGTGTTTCCTATAGAATCAAGAGATGGATGATTTCTCAAGGAACTCTAAATAAAAATAAAAATATTTCTAATATTTTTAGTTACAGTATTTCCATGCTGCAGGCTTAAGCTCCCATATAAAAATAGGCTGGAAATGAAGCTGGATAAAAAATCCGTTTCTGAACTCCAACTTTCTTCTCTGCTTTGGCCATGGCTTACCATAGCTCCTGCTTGGTGGAACACCCCTCCCCCCCGCATGCTTCTTTTTCATACCAGGAAACAAGTACCAACATCCTTCTCTTCTGTGGATGAGTCTTTAAGAACAGTGATTTCCTTTGTTAGGATGTTTGTATGAAGGAATGTTTGTATGATGTTTGTAGGAAGGAAGGAAGGAAGGAAGGAAGGAAGGAAGGAAGGAAGGAAGGAAGGAAGGAAGGAAGGAAGGAAGGAAGGAAGGAAGGAAGGAAGGAAGGTAGGTAGGTTTTTCATGGCTCAATCAGTGAACTTACAAAAAAGTTGAACCTTTCACTTTTGATCAGTGAAGGAATCAACTAACCATTTTTTTATTATTCTAGCAATTCATTTCCTCCTGGTGTTGGTTTTTTCCACCAGATTGTTGAGATATAATTACAGCACAAGCAGGCAGGTGAACAAAGTAGAAACTAGGTAAAGAGGTGGGCACAAAAAAGCTAAAGCAAACCTGAAAAAGTTCACCATGTCACTGGGCCACTTGTGAAACAAAGAAGGAAACAGGTCCATCAACTTAGTTCAGGCATTCTGGCTTTTCCTTTTCTTCCTAGTATTTTCTCACAAATGCAGGGTCTGCTTTTTTCAGATCAACCAAGATTTGATCCCAGAACAAAATGCCAACTCAAAGGGAAGGGAGTGATTGAAAGGGAGAGGTTTTCCCACCATTGTTCATAATAGCTAATTGGAGTGGAGATGTTTCTCTCTAGTCTACAGAAATGAAACAGGGCATTAGGAAAACACCATTTTCCTGGCTCATGATAGGAAAGATGGGTACAGTCTATCTTCCTGATGGGCTGGGGGTGGATAGAAGTTGCCATTAGAGAAATGGTTAGTAGGGCAACCTGGTCATACAGATTAACCTTAATTGCTGGGCATGCTGAGAAAGAGGGTGGAACTGAATCCTGCCAAGCAAGTTTGGGCCAGACATATTTGTTGCTAATAGGTTAAGGTGATAATTTGCAACCTTTTCAAATCACCTTCTTCAGAATGATAAGGTAATGCTCAGGAATGTTCTGGAAAAGCAGTACTAATTTGAAGACGTGAGCATGTCTCTTCCCTGGCTGAGGAAACGTCATTGACGCTGGGGATGAAGAAGAAAAGAACAACAGGGAGAAAAAAGACGGAGATAGAATACATCTTTGTGGAAATGTATTATATTACAGCTCTCTACTCTGCTTTATAAATAGCTCCATTCCAAAAGAATTGCTGTTTATCTAAGTGCCAAAATCTCCCTACTCATTGAGGTATCCATAATTTATATATATTGTTCCTACTATATTAAATTAGTATTTAAGGAAAGGTGTTCAGACCCCATTTTGCAAACTAACTCTAATCCATTGGTTGCTCCTCCCTCATAAGTAATTTATATTTTTATAAACCAACAAATTTACACATTTATCTAGATTCCTGTGACTAGCAGGCAGGCCATGATTTTGGAAAAGACAATAAAGCAGAGCTTGTCCCATCCATTGTTTTTCAATTGATCATTATCATTTCAGGAAAACAACTTCCTTTTCCCATGTCAATTATAAATAACCAAATAAAACCATCCACCCACTCACCAGCCCAGCAAATTACCTAAACTAGTGTTTTTCAGTGTCAGCAACTTTTAAGATACGTGGACCTCAACTTCCAGAATTTCCCAGCCAGCATCAAAGCCCACACATTAAAATTGCTGAGATTGAGAAACACTTATCTAAACACTCAAATCTTCTTGAGATTCAAACTAGTATACAATAAATCATGGACAGCCTGAGATGAGTAGCTGGTTCCAAATCCCTTAAGAGTGGGTAATTTAACAGTATCACAACCAAGATGTTTTCAGTCTTTGTGAAATGTTCAAATGTTCACAGGCAGATGATAAAGACAAATATGTGCATATGGTATTACTAGCTAACATGACACCTACACTAATATGCACTCAGAATTCTGCCAGATTTTCCCCAATAGTATTTGGTGGTGTTTAACAATACCAACTAAGCTCTCATTCCCCTTCATATCATCCCTGCTTGGCTTTCATTGTTAGGCATATTTGTGCTTGCACTGTCAGACCAAACAGAGGGAATTTGACCTGGCAGGTCCAGACCTGGTACAAACCTTGGCATGATGGCGTTGTAGGTATGCTATTCACANCAGATTTTCCCCAATAGTATTTGGTGGTGTTTAACAATACCAACTAAGCTCTCATTCCCCTTCATATCATCCCTGCTTGGCTTTCATTGTTAGGCATATTTGTGCTTGCACTGTCAGACCAAACAGAGGGAATTTGACCTGGCAGGTCCAGACCTGGTACAAACCTTGGCATGATGGCGTTGTAGGTATGCTATTCACAAGCCAGTTTCCCATCAAAGCTTGAGAGGGCAATGGCAAAAGCCTGCACAGCACAAAGTGGGTAATTGTAGTCCATGGTAAAAACATCATCCGCCACTCGGCCAAATTGCAAGACAATGTATTCAGCTGCAGGAAAGAAAGACAACATTATCAGGTGAGCAGGTAAAAAGTTTACCATGGAAACTTTTGGTCCTGTGCAGGACAATTTTTCCAGGACAAAATTGAACCAAGGTGGATGGAGGTGGATTACTGTTAATAAAAGTGACCGAGGAGATATTTTCCCCTACGCTTTTTGTGTGTGTCTGTTTTAGCATTGTTCATTCTAAAAGGAAAGGCACAAGACAGCCTGGGAGTGTGGATGTCCGCAGTGTATGGTCAAAAAAGTCAAGATGGTGGCTGCAACAGTGCAACTGAATCTCTACCTGATTTTTTTTATATGTGTCATAGAGCTGTGATCACACATCATGATTGGCATTCACACTTTTCTTGAACACACCCTACAGATACCTCTGCATGGGAGAATCCTGGCCACAGACTCTTATGCCACCTGAGTACATTCTGCAATTATACTATTTCCAGCACAAAGAGATTGGCAGCAAACAGACATGAGGTAAATACGGTCATTAGATAATTTGCACAGCAATCAGTTGCACTGAAAGACGGGGAAAAGAATTTGGGGAAATAAAGCTGAATCTGTGATCTGTTGCCAAGAGAGGGGGAGGATACAACAGAAAGAGCAATTCACAGAGCAATAAAAAGAGTTGAATGAAACTCCCATTCTCCCACAACACACACAACCTCATCAATATCCTTGCTCAGCTTCTGGACTATGACACTCAATTTAAAAGTAGGATAATTATTATAACATATCTGCTACAATTGTCAAGACACTGTAATCTGAATCCAATTGCCGTGTATTGTCCCTCAAAACAGTATTTGGCTTATAGTGCAGAACCTAATGCTTCTGAACGGAAATCTTCTAGCATTACAAATACACAAGCATTGCACAGCTATTTCATCTTCTCCATAATAGAGAAGATGAATAATAGAGCGAGAGTAAGAAAGATTATCTTGACAGAGGTACACCGGAGCTGCTGTCTACACAAAAGGAACTGAAGTAAATGTTTAAGTCAAGAATGTCCAGATAATGTTTGGAAGCAGCTCAGACAGACCCCCTCCCTGATTCACTGAATTTTAGGAAGGAGGAGGAGGAGATGCAGCACAATCAGGATTGCAACATTGATGTCAGTTTCACTATAGAGACCAGATCACAAGATCAATTCCACAGGATGGCTAAACCTACTTTTATTAAAACTGGCTATAATAAGAGAAACTTGCAAGAGGGATATAGAAAAATATGCTTTCTCTGCTGCAATGCCTGCCATATGGCACCCCAATTCTCATGAATTCTGAACGTCCCTTATCTTGTCAACCTTCTGTAAAGCTTTAAAGCAGGGGTCTCCAAACTTGACAGCTTTAAGACTTGTGAACTTCAACTCCCAGAATTCCTCAGCCAGCCATGTTGGCTGAGGAATTCTGGGAGTTGAAGTCCACAAGTCTTAAAGCTGCCAAGTTTGAAGATCCTTGCTTTAAATACTTGACTTTTCCAGCCGGCAATAGGCAGGGATAGCCTCAGGTGCCCTTAATTTGATTGCCATATAACTGTTTTTAATTATTTTGGATTGTTGCTGTTTCAGATCTTACATTAGCCTGCCAATATCCCACTTGTGAAATGAATAGCCATATAAATTGGTTTTTTTTAAGAAAGAAAGAAATGTCTATGGCTTAGGCAGGGCAGCTGTGCAATCAAAGACTCGCTTCAAAGCTCTCTGGGTCTCATTTTCCAGTAAAGGTAAAGGTTTTCCTATTCAGTCATGTCTGATTCTAGGGTACGTTGTTCATAGGTCCCCAATATATGCTCATCTAGGGTGCGGTGGTCGACTTGGACAAGGGAGCCAGCATTGTCCGAAGATGTTTTTTGTGGTCATGTGGCAAGTATGGCTATATGCCAAAGGCATATGGAACACTATTAACTTCCTACTGAAGTGGTACCTATTTATCTACTCACATTTGCATGCTTTCAAACTGCTAGGTGGGGCAAGGAACGAGAGCTTATCCCATTGCGCAGTGTTAGGGTCTCAAACCTGGGATGTCAGCTTTCCAGCTGACAAGCTCAGCGTCTTTAACCACTGAGCCTGAAGATCACATGCAGCAAAACAAAAATATTCAGATGCTAAGGGAATGAGTGTGTAATGAGACAGAGGAGAACCCAGAAGGTTTAGAAATTGACTGGTCACCGGCTGGGCAATGAATGGCTGATGTCTCTTCAACAGAATTACTAAGTGAGTCCTTTCCCCCTCCCCAGCTAAATAGACCGAGAATAAAAACAGGTTTGTGCCCCCTCCAAAAGATGTGCTCTTTCACCAGACCTGTGTGGCCTTCTAAAGGCCTCTCTGATTCCCTGTTCTGATTGTGACTCCCTTTGTTCGCTGCGAGGGCAGCAAGAAATCTGTAAAAATAACTGGGGCCCTGAGCAGGTTCTTTCTATCCTGTAATCCTACACCCCCCCCCCCCCAGATAGTAACATCTCCTGATTGGGCTGGACAGGTGACAAGCAGACAAGTCACACAGGCTGAAAATTGCTTGGCTGCTGCTGTTTACTGTTCGAATGTAGATTGCAGAGTGTGCCTATGTCCCCACTATATATGCAAGGTGGAAGGAAATGTGTTGCGATAATATTTGGTCCTCCTTATGGTCCTCAAAATCAAAATAATTGCTTGGATTGAGCACCAAAATAATAAGAAAGCATAATAAACATAAAAACTAGAATCTCCTAACCACACAAAACATACATTTAAATTCCTAAATCCCATTTATATGAATGCAACATAATAAATTCATATCAGGATTAATCAATAGAAAAGACTTGTGGTCAATATCATCCACGTGCTTTCACCAGGAGAGCACAATGAAGATCAAGTACCATCATATAATCAGAATCTGAATTAATAGCTTCTTAAAAGTAAATAGGCTATAGGATTCTTTATCTGGATCAAATCCATGGCAGATAAAGTATAGGGATTATGACCTTTTCCATATATCCCACCCAATCTTGATTGGCCTTTGGTGTCTTCAACTTGCACTGAAAGAAAAATTTCCATTGGGAACTATTTTTGCCAATGAATATCAGTCATGGAAGGCCTGACTGAAACTGGACAATAATGGAGATTGTAGACATATAATTCACTCAGAATTACCCGGTGGTAAAATGGGCAGCCAATAAAATTTAAAAATATATAAATAAATATACTGTGTGTGTGTAGGTTATATAGGATCATCTTTATACCTTGCCAGACACTTTACACTTATTTGCTTTTTTTAAAACCACACACATAGTTGCTAATTTATCTATATTTGTTTACCTAATTTCTTTTACAGTAATGTACTCTATTTACTAATACCTATTAACTTTCATTACAGTTTCACTTTTCCTGACAGACGTGAATCTAAATGAGATTCTCTTCTCTGTTTTATACCTTCATAGAATGGAATGGAGGTTAAAAGTCAAAAGCTTCTGCAGGACCAGGGGCTTTATTCCCATTTTTTCATCCTGAGATTAGAGATAACATACTTGTTATCTCTGAGGGCTGTCCATAGTTCAACAGAGAAATCTGTGAATGGTCCAGTCAGTGTGGCCAGCAACAGAACATGTACGACTTGATTTGAAACTCTGGATACATATCCCTCTTGACTATAGTGACCACATTTTCTTGGGGGGGGGGGGAAATAAAGGACAAACCTGAAAAAGGGAAAAATCTGAAAGAAGTTCGTAAAGATTTTTTAAAAATTAATTGTTCATGTTAATGACTTTGATTTACAAAGAAAAATTCAAGAGCAACACAAAAAAGTTAAATAAATATGAAGGGCAGCTTTCTGAAATAAAGGACTGTCCTTTATAATAAAGGATATGTGGTCACTGTGCTTTTGACTGACAAAGAATGTATCAGTAACATTCTTTGGCACTTTGCCATCCTCAAAATATTTCTTACCACCAGGAAATGTAGAGACCTTTTCTTGAATTAGAGATTACAAATCAAGTCCAGTAAATTCTAAAATTATGCTAAGGTTCCGGATGTACCTTGTCCAATTTTGAAAGTTTTTGACTTTTCAGAAAACATCTGGCATGTTCTTTAATGTTTACTAGAGTTGTAGGAGTTTATGATCAAATGTTGGAGGGTACAGTATGGAAGCAAGTGAGCAAAAGAAAATCATGCTTGCTTTTTGGATGGCTCAAACCATTCAAAACATTATTCCAGCCTGCCTCTTATAATGCTCCCTCTAGTGGACTGTTACTGTATTCTATACAGTACTATCCAGGAGGACAATTGAATTTTTTGTTCAGACCTGATTGCAAAATTCATCTTGTGTCCCTGGAATCATGATACATTATAGATTTCACAGAAGCCATCCTGAATTATCATTTGGAAATTGAGCAACTGTCTAATGCAATATGAAAAATACTTACTCCAAAACAGGTATATCTAACAAATGTCTTTGATGTTGCTCTACTAAGCACTCTAAACACCATAACCAGGTTCAAGAGAACAGCCCTTTATTTCTTGAGACATACTCAGAGTGAAATTACCCTAAGGCAGTGGTTCTCAACCTATGGTCTGGGGACCCCTGGGGGGCCAGTTATAGTAGTATCCCCCCAGGAGTTTCTGAACTTCTTTACAATAGTAAATTTAGAACCCCCAGGCACCGGTACCAAGTACCGGTGTTCTCAATAAATTTCCCAAGACACTACTTCTTTTCCAACTCTTGGTGACAGGATTCGTCAATCTCTTGATTAAAGGTTCTAGACGAAACGAAAACCAAACTCGCTAAGTAAATCTGTATGTACTCTTCAACAGTTACCAAAAGCATTTCACATGGCCACCTCCATATATAAATCTGAAAAGCCTTATGTGATTGTGGAGATGTTCATAATCTCTGATACAGACAAATTGCTAAAGCTAAACAGATTAGGGACTGTTTGGATGGGAGATCCCTTTGAATTCCTTTAAATGTTGACTAGACTTTCGTGATGGAAATAAATAATTTGGAACAAAATGGAAAAGAAATGCACTATATACAGTCTTTGTTTTTCAATTAGATCTTAAAAACAACTACTTCCTATACAGATGCAGTTTCAAATGACTCATATGTCTCAGATTGTATGCATGTATCAGTTTGGTATGATTCTGAGCATGCCAGAAAATCAAGATTCCACTTTATAAATCAAGACAACATTTAAAGCTAACTTTGTAGATGCAGCAAAGAGCTGTGGATTAGTTTACGTATTCTATTGAGCCCAATGTTTTGATTTGAGTTCATTTTGTGGACCCAGCCAATTATGGTTTCCTCAACAAATCACGGTTAAACAAATCATGGCTTTGAGCCCAATCTTGTCTGTCAGAATACAAAAAAAAACCAAAACCCAACCACTGGTCCAGCCACTCTTCAGGAAGTACCGCCCCAAATTTTGATTAGATTCTTGTTCTCAGTAATGGACCAAATCCAGTCCAAGGGTATGTGCGAACAACCTGGTTTCACTTACATAGGATTCCTGAGATTAACTGGAGTGGGATTTTCATTGGAACCATGTTGGGGGAACTAGAGATAAATGTACCCTCCTTCTAGGTCAATTTTAATTTCAATACTGTATCCATTGCTTCAGTTTCAGTATTTGAAATTGTATATATTAATTAACCATGAGAACCAATTTGGTGTAGTGGTTAAAGCACCAGGTTAGAAGTCGAGAGACTGTGAGTTGTAGTCCTGCCTTAGTGGCAAAGACAACTGGGTGATCTTGGACCAGTCACTTTCCCTCTACCTAAAGGCGACAAAGGCAAACCACTTCTGAAAAACCTAGCCCAGACATTCACTAGCAATCAATGTTGACTTGAAGACAAGTACATACAAAATTAACCACACTTCTCTTACACCATATCTAATTTAGTTCTGTCTATGACAGGAAAGTGGGACACATGGAAATTCTCTTCCCTCCTCCATTCTCAGATTTAGACTTGGTGAGGCCCTAAACATGATCTAAAGTTATACCAGATCTAAAGTTATACCAGAAAGTCTCAATAAAGTTGTATACTGAAACAGGACATTGGATTGCCACAAAAAAACTGGAAACATCTAATTATCTAATAGCATTTAAAGAGACAAATACATTAGTTTCAAATGAATGTGCAGTATATACTGATTAGATGTTTATTGTTTGCCTTGATCTCTCTCACAGATTATAATAGTACTGTATATTCTGGAAACAATACTTAAACATGAATTTTTGAAACAAAACAAAACAAAAAACCACCCTGAAAGTTTGTGAGGCCCTGCAAATTTTGAAATCCTAAACTCTACCTTGTTTTGCTTATGTCTAAATCTGACACTGCCCTACTCCCTAGTTGTATCCCAACTTCTGGTATAAACTTTGATCCAATATGTCTCCCTTGAACAAGTAGGAAGCTAACCACCTCCACCAAAATAATGATGCGGGTCCTGCCAATGTCCCTATTAGATGGAGGGAAGACTATTATAAGCAATTCATCAGCATTAAACTAATTTTTCCCATCCATACTGTTTGGATACCTGAGAAATGCTGTATTGATTAGATAATTTGCATCAAGGAAAGAAGAGAGAAAAAGCAAATGAAATATCAAAATGGACTTTTTTTTAAAAAAAAAAAAGAATGGTAGATCTAATTGTATGTTTCCAGCCCATTAATTTAATTTTCTGGGAAAGTGCTTTCAAACTTTGGGTGCCTTGACAATCATAAAGCATCCATTGGGCAACACAATTCAGTGCCCCATTCTAGCAGGCAAGTCCAGGATTTCATTTTGGTTTTCTTGCCTACTACCTTTTTGAATGGACAATGCAGCACAATGCCTACTCTGACTCTGAATTTGCAGAAATGCTCTTACCTTAGCCATGGGTCTAACTAGCAGCAGCAATAGCTTTTCCGTCAGCACAAATATAGAAGCATTTTTAAAAACTCCACAATCCCACAAGACTTACGGTCATCACTGTGCACAATCTGGAAGTTCTTAACTGAGGCATGTGTAACTCTTCCATGGAAGTTCAGCACATAAGACTGAGTTTCATCATTCCATACTGGGGCTTTGTTATGCAACTCAATTAAGCTGTCCATTATCTTATTCTGCCACCTCATGAGTAACCCATCATTATCCTAGGAAATTGTGAGAAAAAGCATTACCACAAGTAATTCAAAAACATATCTTCTTCAATATTTACTTGGTTATATTCGCATGAAGAAATAACACATGTAGATACAATAGATTCTTATAGTGTACATCACAAGAAGTCCTCTAATATTTTTGAGCATAATTACAGTAACATCTTAGCCTTGCTCCTCTTAAAAGTTGTGCACTGAAATTTGATATTAATATACTAAAAAACTAAGTATGCACATACTTGTTCCTCCAGGTTTCATGAGTGGAGTCCAAGGGAACTTGCAAAGGACAATGTTCACATATAAGTTATATATCAAAGCTTGCAATCCTTACCTTAGCTTTTGACAACCTGGTGCATATTGACTAGGAATTTTTGAATTGGAGGTCACAGATCAAGGAAATTACCTTTGACTCTTTCTTCAGATTTCAGAATCAATGTTTTTGCTGCAAATGTTTTGAAGAAAGAATTGTATCCATAGTGATGTCTCATGTACTTCATTCTTCCTCAGAGGACCTGAAATATGAGGTTTGCTCTTTGGAAGAGGATGGCCAACCAAGGATTTGAAGGTATATCTTCATGTCAAACTGGATGACATAATAAATGCTTATACAGCATTTGATCCAGTCTTGTATTGTCAATGGAAACAATTTACCATTTATATTTATATTATATTGCTGGTTGAGATCCTTAGTTGCAGAACTTCTTATTGCAACTTAGTGCTCTCTATATGTATTAATAGACAGCTTTTAACACTTTCCAACATGATGGGAATTGCAATTCCACACACAACTGGAGGATGCCAAGTTCAGGAAGATTGTTTTAGAAATAAAGCATTGGAAACACCCCTATATTTCCTATTCTAAAAGGAAGTTTTGCATTTTATATTTTTGCTGACACAAAATTTCATGGCAAAAAATGCCTTTGTGACTAAATGTTCTCCCAGCACATTTCAATATTTTATTTTATTAACCATGATAAGCAGAACATCAATGAAATGGCAACATGATGTCTACAAACATTGGGATTATTTAGAAGTAATGAAATCTTGTATGAAGGTTTATGCGTAACTTACATTTCGGGGACGGATTGGCACTCTTTCATTATCAGAATTCATTCCAGGAATGACCACTGTCATTTTTCGAGGTCCTTTGAAACCTAATACATTTGTCTCCTGAAATAGAAATACCAAAACGTTCATAACTGAGTTACCGTCATACATCTTCACAACACGATCAACTTCAGCTGATCCTTAACAGTTTAAAGTTATTTTTCTGCTAGCCTAAAGTCTTATATTGCACATGTCTCAGTAGTCCTAAAACCCAAGATTTAGTGTCCCAATACATATATGAAAGAAAAGAAAAAGGAAGGAATTTAAGGAAGGGAATGTGTCACACCTGCTCCTGCCAATCTCCTTCCTTATCTCATCTCCTTCTCCTCCCCATCCTTTGGTGCTGCTTTTCCCCACTCCCTGCCACTGGGAGGTTGCTGCTTTCACCACTAGGGAATGCTGTGAAAATCCTGCCCCATTGGTGCCCCAGAAAAGATGCTTGTGGAATGGTGTGAAGCTCAATCTCTACAGAAGCACAGGTGATGTTATAGGACAGATGTCTTTCTGTGGGTCACCTCCTCTGACCAAAGGACTTAGGACTCTCCTTTGATTTCTGCCTGCCTCAAAATCCTGGAGAATTATTGATAAAAACTCTCAACTCTCAACCAATACTTATGTCTTGAACTGTTAGGTTGATAGAATCCATTACATTATAATAAAGTGGCTATATGGCATACTTAAGTGGACTAAGATCTAGAAGGGTGGTTCAAGAAATATGCAGATATAAAATTTAACTAACATAATACAATCCCTGTCAATCTAGATTAAACTACATTGTTTCTTTGCAGATGACAATTCCTTTAGGGGAAAAAAATGTCTACAAATTAAATTATTCCCAACCACAACATATAGAACAGACATTCCTTCTTTTCTTCATATTATAGTATACTTTTATTGACATTTGGATCAAGCTATATAGCTGTCAGGGGTGATTTTGCAGTGAATGGAAAATTCTTAAAATTCCTTGGTACTGATAAGCAATCTGCCATCTTGGTATGGATTAGTCTAGTGGCTGCCTATTAAATAGAAGTTTAATGGGGAAATAGTTCACAGAATGGTTCCTTACATAAATAACAGCTGCAAGCTCCTGGCGTACATTGGACCAGTCAGCATTTGCTCTGTCTGGATTTACACCATTGTCAAACACCGAGAATCGAGTACCCATTAAATTGGATCTAAAAGAAAAGACAGAAATCAGACCCCTGGAACAAAAAAGGGCAGAAATTGCACAGCACTACTCTTCAGTCTGAACAAATATAATTTCTTTGGAATGTCATTTTATATTATACACTGAAATGGCTGCAACAAACTTATTAGGTTTTCAGTGTGGGATAGAAGGAGGAAATGGAAAGGTCACTCAATCAGGGCATCTGCTGTATTTCTAAACTCTGGGCCTATGAAATTGCGACATGCATGCCTCTCCTTTTCCCTGGCTAAAACCTGCCCAACCACTGTTTCATATCTGCCCCCAGGGACAATTTCTGTTACAATCTGATAGCAAGATGTGTCTGGTTTGTTAGTTTATGCACTAGCTTGATTATCATTTTGGATCTAAGAAATCCTGAGTTCTGAACTGAGACAGCTGTAACTCAGTGATAAGACCAAGCTCTGCATGACAAACGTCTGAGCTTTACACTTTGGTAAGCTTGGCAATGGCCACAGCCGAACAACCAAGATTCGTTGCCTCCATGGCCAAGCCCTACTCTTCTTCAGTAGCAAGACTACTGAATAATGTCTGGTGCTGTCAATATAAATTTGGGATAAGTGGAAGAAAATAATGGATGAGTTTTCTGGCTCTCTTTCTCCTCCCACTAAATGTCACCTGCTAGTGGAAAAACAGCCGCTAATTCTGCCCTTAATGTGAGGTGGGGTGGGGCAAGTATATAAGTGCTTTGAACAGCAGGCTTAGCCACCTGTCAAGCTGTCTGACTAACTATATTGTGCAATCAGATCACTCTCCAGAAGCCTTGTGTTTTGTCACTCCTGCAGCCCAAGCCATGATGGCCATGGAGAGCAGCGCCCAGCAACCAGAGCAGAGGGGGTGTGAGCCAATAGCTAAATGTGACTTTAAGCTGTCTCAGCTGTGGGGCAATGAAAGAACAACGAAACTGAAGAAGCAGGAAAGCAGATTGTCCAATCTGAGTTAGGACCGCACAGAAACTGAATTTAATTCACAGCATTATTAATGAAGAAATGATGAGGTATTTCTGTGCTAAAAAATAAATGGGTCTCTAAAGAAGCATTTACCAAATCAGATTTTCAGTTCTGCTGAGAGTAAATTATATTAAATATATAATGTCACAAAGTATAGATAAAAACTATTAATATTGAGCCTGCAATACTCATTATGAAGTAGCATCACTTTTTTAAACATTTGACAGCTTCCACAGCCTGAGGCTATGCATGGGAATACTTAACTTTGGAATCCAAACACATCTGTAGGGCACTAGACCAGAAGTGGCTGGACTACTGCTCCCCAAATACAATTTCCTGGGAACTGTAGGTGGGTTTTCTTTTTCTTTTTCTTTTTTCTGAAGCTGTGAAAAACTGTTAGAAATCTACATTTCCTCTCCAAATGACAATTCCATAAAGATAAGATGTGTTAAACTTCTTAGATTGCTTATTAAATCTGTAATGGATTGAGTAGAATATTTGGTAAAGTTTGAGATCCCTTCAGGCAATTAACTTAGGATGGTGTGAAAGAGCAATACAATTATGACTGCAATTCTAACGTCTGTGATGAAGAAGAAATGTTTTTGAGAGGTTTTTTGCCCTAAACAAGTGATTCACTGGGTGGCATTCATTTCTTTGTCCCAGCAAAAAACTGTGATGTGATCTGCTTTGTAGTAGAGAGTTGTTTCTCCTTGGCTCAAGACACTTTAATTTACGTTCTTAATCTGCTTGATTATCTGTGCTCAGAATTGCTGCATCAGTAAATAAAAGCTTTTATTGGTACATCCCACCACTGTGCTGCACAGAAGGGTTTTTAATGGCACAAGCAGCATATATCTGTCCATTGAAACCCTCAAAACCATGAGTGCAAGACGGTTGGTATTCTAAAACGTCCCCTGAGTTGACTTGCCAATGAGATACTGTATTGTGAATGTTCCTTCTCTTGCAGGTAGTATCGTAAGAAAGATGGGTGTGATGTTTGGTTCTCACAACAATAGCTTAAGAATGCATACATTACATGGTGCAAACTTTGCAGAAGACTAAGTAAAGGGGCAAAAATTACATAGAACAGTATTTCATAACGTAGAACATGTATAAAAAGTATTAACATAAAGAAAAGGTTCACAAGAGTTTATAGGTCCCAAAAATAGACACAACGTTTCACTTCAGTGGTGGACCTCACTCGTTTTTAAAGAAAGAAAGAAAGAAAGAAAGAAAGAAAGAAAGAAAGAAAGAAAGAAAGAAAGAAAGAAAGAAAGAAAGAAAGAAAGACTTTCTTTCTTCTGAAGTTTTGGTGCAACCTGCAAAGGAGGGTAAAACAGCCCCATCCCCTCCTTAATTGGGGAATTTTTCTATAAAAGAGAAAATGCATGTGGTGCATGGGTATGTTGAGAAAAGAGTCAAGAGGACAGCAAAAACGTGAGAAATTCTTTCTCTGAGGAAAGAGAAACTCCATCTCGAAGGTGAACACCTCAGCGTAGTGTGAGAGACAGTGAGAGAAAACTTCAATTTTGGAGCTGCAAAACCAATAAAAGGCAGAGATGAGAGAGACAGGGAAGGAAAAGAGCCTGACTAGAATCTGCAAACCCAAGAGAGTCTGGCAACCAAACCAAGCCCACTGCCTGCAGCAGCCCAGGTGGAGGACAAGAAGCGATGGATGGAAACTAATCAAGGAGAGAAGAAGCAACCTAGAACTAAAGAGAAATTTCCTGACAGTCAGAACAATTAATCAGTGGAACAATCTGCCTCCAGAAGCTGTGAATGCTCCAACACTGGAAGTTTTAAAGAAGATACTGGACAACCATTTGTCTGAAATGGTATATGGTTCCTGCCTTAGCAGGGGGTTGGACTAGAAGACCTCCATGGTCCCTTCCAACTCTGTTATTCTATAATACTCTACAAACCATAGCTAGAAACACTGGATGGTGAGTACTGGAGGGGTGGGGTGGGGGAGAGAAAAGTCCATTCACAAGTCTATAAAAGTCTATAAAAGAGTGAAAAGGGGTTTCACGTGCAAATAGACTGAGACTGAGCTGAATAGTTAAGATAAGGAAACATAGTGCAAAAGCAAGAACAGGGGACTGGAGGCTAAAACATATAAGGAACGGTTTCTGGAATTGGGTATGTCTAGTCCAGCGGTAGGCAACCTTGGCTCTTTTATGACTCGTGGACTTCAACTCCCAGAATTCCTGAGCCAGCATGGCTCAGCTTGGAAACCTCTCCCTGTCCCTTCAGCATGGCTGGCTCAGGAACTCTGGGAGTTGAAGTCCACGAGTCATAAAAGAGCCAAGGTTGCCTACCCCTGGTCTAGTCTAATGAAGAGAAGGACCAGAGAGAGAAGCAACCCAGAACTAAGGAGAAACTTCCTGGCAGTTAGAACAATTAATCAGTGGAACAACCTGCTTCCAGAAGCTGTGAATGCTCCAACACTGGAAGTTTTTAAGAAGAGACTGGACAGCTATATGTCTGAAATGTTATAGGGTTTCTTGTCTGAGCAGGGAGTTGGACTAGATGACCTCCAAGGTCCCTTCCAACTTTATTTTATTTTATTGTTATTGTTAATTGTTATTATTATTTTATTGTTAAATGGCATCGGACCTGGATATCTCCGAGACCACCTTCTGCCTCAGATTACCTCCCATCGGCCGGTACGCTCCCACAGAGTGGGTCTCCTCAGGGTGCCGTCAGCCAGATAGTGCCGGCTGGCGACCCCCAGGGGGAGGGCCTTCTCGGTGGGAGCTCCCACCCTCTGGAACGAACTACCCCCAGAGATCCGGGTGATCCCGGATCTCCCTTCCTTCCGCTGCGCCCTTAAGACATGGCTATTTCAACTAGCAGGACTGGCCTAAGGGGAAATTTTTAGCGGGGTTTTAAAAACAATTTTAAATTACAAAGGCCAAATCTAATATTTCATTTTAATTATGTTTTTTAACGATAGTATTGGGGTATTTTTTGTATTTGTTTTTTATCAGGCTGTCAGCCGCCCTGAGTCCGCAAGGAGAAGGGCGGGGTAAAAATTCAATTAAATAAATAAAATAAATTAAATAAATAATTACTGTTACTGTTATTATTAATGTAGAAATTTAAAGATTAAATAACAATACAAATAGAATAGTTGTAAACTTATGGTAATAGAAAGATAATAGAATAAGAAAGTTTAAGACAATAGAATAAAGATAGGAGCTTAAGTTTTGTGTGGGAAAAACGAACACGGTATACAATCTTTGTATCTGTTCTGTATCATATTAAAAAAAAAAACCACCCTAATCTGCCAAACTGTACAGTATTTACAGGGAAATAGATTGGAATTCTCCCTGGCATAATACCTTAGATTTCTCAAAATCACTTTGATGAAGCAACCCTAACCTTAGCTTTCCAATGAAGTTTTCCCCATCTCGGCTCAAGTCAGTCGGATCAGTGGAAATCAGATAATTAGATGTCTTGCTTTTTTTTCGTTTTCGACCAGCCAGCAAGAAGATCTAGATGAAAAAAAGAGATCCAAAAAGCACAGCATTGATATGTGAAATTAACATAATGTAATTTATGCAACATTTTTCAATGGTGCAGTACTAACTGCCTTCCGTGGGCTTGCCCAGGCAAAATCCTCGTTCAAAACTGTTACGAGGTCAAACTGACATATTTAGTCCGAACGGGTCCGTTTCGACCTCGGGGACCGTTTTGAGGGAGACCCGAAACGAGAGACGAAATGGAAGTATTTGGTCGAATGATCTACGACGGTTTTCAGTGAGGACCGAAACTAAAACGGGGCTTTCAACAAGTTGAGTTAGGTGTCAAACTCTTTCCTGCATTAGTATATTCAATATTACAACATTCCTAGAACTCTATTTTTATAATTTAGGTTCTAGATATCTCTTACAGGGATGTGTAGATTAAAACTCCCTTTGAATCTCCTATCTGCATTTAATAATAATAATAATAATAATAATAATAATAATAATAATAATAATAATAATAATAATAATAATAATAATAATAATAATAATAATAATAATAATAAAGTTGGAAGGAACCTTGGAGGTCATCGAGTCCAACCCCCTGCTCAGGCAGGAAACTCTACACCATTTCGGACAAATGGCTGTCCAGTCTCTTTTTAAAAACTTCCAATGTTGGAGCATTCACTGCTTCTGGAGGCAGGTTGTTCCATTGGATAATTGTTCTAACTGTCAGGAAGTTTCTCCTTAGTTCTAGGTTGCTTCTCTCCTTTTATCAGTTTCCATCCATTGCTTCTTGTCCTGCCTTCAGGCGCCTTGGAGAATAGCTTGACTCCCTCTTCTTTGTGGCAGCCCCTGAGATATTGGAACACTGCTATCATGTCCCCCCTTGTCCTTCTCTTCGTTAAACTAGACATATCCAATTCCACCAACCATTCCTTATATGTTTTAGCCTCCAGTCCCCTAATCATCTTTGTTGCTCTTCTCTGTACTCTTTCTAGGGTCTCAACATCTTTTTTACATCGTGGTGACCAAAACTGGATGCAGTATTCCAAGTGTGGCCTTACCAAGGCATTGTAAAGTGGTATTAATACTTCACGTGATCTTGATTCTATCCCTCTGTTAATGCAGCCTAGCACTGTGTTGGCCTTTTTGGCAGCTGCATCACATTGCTGGTTCATATTTAAGTGATTGTCCACTAGGACTCTGAGATCCCTCTCACAGTTACTATTGAGCAAGGTACCCCCTATACTATACCTGTACAGTTGATTTTTCTTGCCTAAATGTAGAGCCTTACTTTCAACAGAAGCTCTCAATTTTCTCTTCCAAGAAGCCTTCAGTTGATATGCAAAACATCTGGGTTTTTCTTTTTCTTTTGTTAAGACTATAGCAGGAAAAAGAATTAATCTTCTTGTCCCCTTTCCTATGATATACCTACACTGATTACATTTTCATAACAAACTGTTTCTTTTTTGGCCCATTGAAACAGGCTGACATTAGATCTCTCTCAGAGGAGATATATTTAGCATCCCATTTATCCATTCTTACATGTCTAAAGGACAGCCTTCTTTCTTATGAGCCTTGCTGTAATAATGTCTGAACAGAATCAGAGGCTTTCCTACCTATCTCACTACCTAAGACCTAGAGAGAGAAGATTGGCATTTTGCTGTGTTCTCTTCTTGCAAAGACAGAGAAAAGACCTTGACATCTTCACTCGCTTTAAAGTAAAGACATTCTGTGCCATCGGGATCTTAATACCACATGGTTTTGCTGCTCATCTGGATTATTTTTGTTGCATGAGCTTTAATGGGGTCTATTCTTACTGTACACTGCCTTTGGTGTCTGGTAGACAGAAGATGTGAATATTATATTAAATATAAACACACAAGGCAATCTTTACATACACACTAAGGCAAGGCTGCTGCCTTTAATCACGCACCTTTTTGTCATTATCAAGATGAAGATAATAGGTAGGGTAGAGACCACGATCCATTCCTCTTTTGTCTCGAGTGAGACGACACTTGATGGTCATTCCATGAGGAGCTGGCTGCAGCACAAATTCCTCCAGATTGTCTTCTTCGATGACTGGAGATGGTGGTCTTTCTTCTTTCTGTGGTCCAGCAATAAAAGAAAGAAGATTTGGTTTTTTTACCCCCTCTCCTCAAAATCTCTTATCCTAAGCATTCCTGCATTGCTTGTGTTGAATATTGCAATGATGATACTTCATGTATCACATCCCAACCATCTGTGTCTTAGTCTATGATCATTCTTCCTGACATAGTAGGCCCCATAACATCCATAAGCTGGTTTCTGAAAAGTACTTTGGCTGGGATTCATCTCTTATTTAATTATTCATTTATTTCAAAAAAATTATCTGCCATTGTAATGAAGTATAAGGGCTGATTCCAATATGTAAGAAGCAACTTTCATGTGTACAGGTAGTCCTCATTTACCAACAGCAGTTGGAACTAGCACTTCTGTTGCTAAGCGATGCAATTGTAAAATGAAATCTCGTGGACCATTCTGGACTTACAATGTCAGTTCCACTGTGGTCGTTAAACAAACCACCACAGGTTGTTAAGCAAGATATTGCATGACTGCAACTTGTAGACTTTCTGCAAGCTTCAGTGCTGACCTTGCTTGTCAGAAACTGGCTGTGAAGGTCTCAAAAGGCAATCACACGACTGCCGGATGCTGTGGCTGTTGTAAATTCATGCAGCATTTGAATCACATTCATGTGACCATGAGGACATCAGCCCCACTGTAACTTCAAACAGTTGCTGAAGGAGGCAGTCAATAAGTGAGGACTACCTGTAATTGATTCATAAATAATAAGTAAAATCAAACAGAAATGTTAGAGATATAAATTAGGGAAGCTGAGAATGTGAATGTATAGGGCAGGAATCCTAATTTTCAGCTTTAATATGCCAAGGAGTTTGGCTTCGTCCTATAAGAATCTCTCACGAGTTACCTTTTTGGATTTCTTGGTTTTCCCTTTCCAGTTGACATTCTTGTGGACTACCTCTTCCTCGCTTTCATTTTTCATGGCTTTGGGGGGAACTGTAGAAAAAAGAATTTAGCGACCACATGATGGTTATACAGATGACAGCATCATCTAGATCAGGGGTAGTCAACCTTGGCTCTTTTATGACTCGTGGACTTCAACTCCCAGAATTCCTGAGCCAGCTAAGCTGGCTCAGGAATTCTGGGAGTTGAAGTCCACGAGTCATAAAAGAGCCAAGGTTGACTACCCCTGATCTAGATTATCCTTTGTCAGCAATGTCAGAATTTCCTTTTCCCACTCTGCCACAGATGGAAAAGCAAATGTTTTTGTCATTGATCTGGGGATGCAGCCTTTTCTGTATCTAATATCCTTTCAGCCTGTTTTTCAAGTGATAAGCATCTTTACCAAGTGAGTTCCAATATGCTTGTGATGGACCAGATAACAAGGTTTGGATACTGATTTTAGTTTCAGCAAGTGACAAGAAGTCCCTGACCATCTAGTGGGGATTTTTCAGAATCGCAGAAATAGGAGCATGATGGTTCACAGTTCTCACTTATAGCACATCAGTACCAAGCATTCCGAGTGTGAGTTCACGTGAATAAGTGGATGTATCTTCTTCCGGTATTTCTATCAACAAATGCTGCACCTACCCTTCTTTTTAGTTTTCTTCTCCTTGAGGCCTTCTCCTCCAGTCTGAAACATTGACGCCGCACTCTTCTTTTTCTCTGATTTGGTTGACTTGGCATTGGATCTGGAATCATCTTCTGTGTCGCTATTTTTTGGCTCTACAGTTATTAAATGAGACGTTTTTATCCAGGGAGAAATTAGTCAGATTAGATTCTTTTTAATAATACATAATCTCCTAACAGATATATTACCAAGTATATATACTTGGTATATATACATATCAACATTGACATCATGAGGAATTCTAAGAACTGCTTATACTGGCTTCTAGAGCAGGGGTCTTCAAACCTGGCCCTTTTATGACTTGTGGACTTCAACTCCCAAAATTCCTCAGCCAGGCACGCTGGCTGAAGAATTCTGGGAGTTGAAGTCCACAAGTCATAAAAGGGCCAAGTTTGAAGACCCCTGTTCTAGAGTAATTTTGAACCATTAATGCACTTATATTGAACAAAGGTAGGAGACAAATGTGCTTCATGCTTTCTAAGGGATTGGGGTGCAATCTGTTTGCCACTAAAGGCACCATGCAATGATACACCAGACACTGCATTTTATTGGTCTGGCTGAAGCCACTGGAGTCATACCTACCCTATTAGGGGATACAGACAAGTCTGGCATCATATCCTCTTCCCCTGTCCTTCCATGAACAGAATACACATACAGGCACCAACCCTTTCCTCTATTCACACATGTACTTAAAATGCAGCCACATCTACTGCCTTCCCCAGATTTTCTCCCACATACACATGCGCACATATTCATAAATGCAATTGTGATGCCTTCTCTACCTTATTTTCAATAAATAGTACGCAGAATGGCCCATATTATTAGAGAGGTGCATTGTTGGACAATGGGCCTGTAAGGTCAGTGGAGCAAATACGGATGTAAAGCCTTTCACCTTTGCTTTTGACACATTTGCCTTTGTTATCCTCATTCACATGGAAAACAGAGGTTGAGTCTTTTTTCAGTGTCTTGGTAGTTCCTGCCTTGACACCAGCTTCAGCCTTGTTTCCTGTCCAAGGTGAAAGAATGAGAATAGGAATTAGATGAACTGGATTTATATATCATGCTATATACCAGAGGTCTTCAAACTTGGCCCTTTTATGACTGAGGAATTCTGGGAGTTGAAGTCCACAAGTCATAAAAGGGCCAAGTTTGAAGACCCCTGCTATATACCATTATATGATTTGTTTGTACTGAGTTTAGTATCTATCAAAAATGCATAACAAATATTAAGAAATTTACAGGTAAGATACTTGGCCATTGTACATTCATGATAATTCCTTTAGCCTCATATCAACCAAAACTTTCAGGTTTAAGTGCTACAGAATCTTGAAAATAACTGATTGACAGAATACAGAATTTGGGGAAAAAAGAAAGTGAGAGAGAATGAGAAAAAAAATAATGCACACAAGAAAGAAATATGTCCTCCTATAGTTGTTACAGTCACTCTTGCTACTTTTTCCTTTGTACAGTCAAACAACAGCCAATTGTCAAGCATAAAACCAGGCTGTCAACGCTGCTAACATCGGATGTTCTTACTTTGACAACAAATGGAAATGCAGCCATTTTCTCTATTGCTTTTAGAATTAGTTGCTGCTGGGAGGGGGAATAGGGATGAGAGTCCAGCTAGTCATAACAATAATAACTTAAGTTGTGGGAACCCATGGACATTGGGCCTAGAGCTGATAGTGTTTTGGAGGGCTGGAGAGCTGTGGAGAAAGCCCGCAATTCAAGCTAATCGGGGAATGTGATTTATGACTGTTTATTGGAGGAGGGAATTGCACTTTCTTAGTTTGTATCCACGGGAGGGGAATTAAGTTTCTGGTTTCAACCATGTAGTGCCAATAATTTGTTTCTTGAATAAAAGATTGTTTCTTGAATAAAAGATTACTTTAAGGTAAACAATGCCTCGAAGTTCTTTTGAAGAGTTTCATCTGTCGGAACCATGACACAGGCTTCACAAACATTTCAACGACTCATATAGGCACCTTATAAGTAAACCATCTCCCTTATTTATTATTTCCCAAATACACAGCACATTTGCAGTCTTATAATTTCTCAATAGTCTCATAGTGTTCAGGTACTTTATTTTCTTTTTCTCAATTATAAAGAATTTCTGACTTCAAATCCACTCTTCAGGGATACTGCAACCATCCCAATATATCTCTAAAATGTTCCATCCAGCATTCCTCTCTTTTTAGTTTCATCTCAAATCACTTGTCACTTTTATTTTTAATGTCATATACTCTGTTGGAGAATTCTTCTTTAACCCTCTTCACCTATTTCTGGAGCAACCTTTTTCCCCTCAAAATGACCCTGCACTTTGTTATTTTTCTATTTGATTACGTACTTTGCAAGCCTCTTCTCTACATACATATTATATAATATTGTTTCTTTTCCTCTTTCTCATTTTAAACTATCATTCTGCTATAGGCATTTTCTTCATCCACAGTTCTTTTCACTTTACAATTCCACCAAGTATCATTTTTCATATTACCCATCATGTAACTCCACACACTTCTATGGCACAGTGTAGTATAATTATTTTCATTCTGTGCCAAGCTGCTTTCACAACCTCTTATATTCACTTTTATCCACAACTTCTTATATCCACTTTCCATTGATTCTGTTGGGATCCTGTAGTGCATTGGCTAATTTCTTAAAAATCACCATTCAAGTTTTTTCTTCTGGTCGTTTAACTCTTATTCTAGCTTATTTTGCTTCTTTTTTCCTTTCCTGTTTACTTCACAAATTCATCTCCTGATGCTACCAAGAAATTGTCTGTCTCACATCCAGGTTTCTCATCACTCTTAAATCCTTAATTATCTTTGTCTTTCATCATAAGCAATCAAATAAATCACATTTTAATATTTATGTTCTTTCCTCTTCCACAGATAAACATATTTCATTCTTGGGTCTTCGAATTATCCAGTCACTGTATCCATACTCAACTCATTCATGTCATATACCAGAAAATATCTTCCCGTTTCCCCCCACCCCAATAGTATTCATTAAGAATGTGGCATAATTGCTAAAAAAAACCCCTCTTTTGGTTCTTCATTATCATCATTCACTGGAAGGTAACATGCAAGTATTTTCAATCTATGGATTCTTATTTTCATGCAAATTCACAACAACCTAAGTACTTTCTGACATACCTTTTAAGCCTTTCATTCATAATTAAACATACCTTCATTTTCCTACGGGTGTTAGTTAATTTATTCCTTTCCACAAAATCAAACTATTTTCATTCCATCCTGTTATTCCTTACCTTTCTCTTAGTTTTACATATATTCCTCAAATTATGAGTGTAACTGAGCCTGAAATTATAGTCATAAGTCTTTATGGTCGAAAGGTGATGCCAGATTTTTCAGTATTTCTTGTGGTGGTCTTTAAATTAATGCCACAGCTAAGTGAATGGTGGAGTCATTAAGGGAATGCTATGGCCATTAAGCAAATCCATTTTAACCAAGGGATGTTTTTTGTCAGAAACTGGAAGTAAAGGCTAGAAATTGGCAAAAAAGAAAAAAAATTGTGGTCATGTCACCTCAAGTTACTGCAAATGACTGTAAAGGTGAGCTGGTTGCCAAGCTCTGAAAATCTACCAGATGACCAGGGGGTGTGTGCAGCCGTCGTAACTTCAAAATCGGGTCATAAGTAGCTTTGGGGGCACTTGTTATAACTTCGGTTGCTCAGCAACCAGTCATAAGTTGAGAATAACCTGTACAGATACGTAACTGCTTTTGTTTGTTTGTTTGTTTCCATTTGTTAAGTCATACTCTTTATCATGTATTCCTCTTTCATTTCAAGTTGCAATCTTCCATTTGTTCATCCTCCTCACTCAAATAACAAAGTAGTTTTCCAGACAGAAAATGGTCTATCACCGGTATTTTGCATCAAATATCTGAACAATATCACTATATAATCAAATATAATTACAGTCATTAGTATGTATCAGGAAGAACAATAAACATTAAACAATATTTAATTGAAGTCCTCTTCTATTATTCTATGACATAAGTGGTGCTGAGGACTATGACTCATGTTCTTGTCATCTTTCAGAAGACTGCAATTTGCTTCACGTGGAATAACTCAGAAAGTGCAGCTGGTAGAGTGTGTCTATCTGTCTGCTTGCTGAGCTGAGTTCATCCTGCAAGTCAGTAGCTTTCTGGACCAGTATAGATGGGGCACTCATTTCATTTAATCAAGCAGAATAGAGCTGGAAGGGACCTTGGAGGTATTCTAGTCCAGCCCCCTGCTCAAGCAGGAGATCCTATACAATTTGAGGCAAGTAGCTGTCCAGTCTCTTCTTAAAAATCTCCAGTGATGAAACACCCATAACTTTTGAAGGCAAGCTGTTCCAGTGGTTAATTGTTCTCACAGTTAGGAAGTTTCTCCTTAATTCCAGGTTGCTTCTCTCCTTCATTAGTTTCCATCCATTGTTTCTTTTCTTGCCTTCTGGTGCCTTGGAAAATAAGTTGACCCCTCTTCTTTGTGACAGCCCCTCATGATACTGCTATCATGTCACCCCAGTCCTTCTTTTCTCTAGACTAGCCAGTTCTTGCATTCCAGATCTTCATTCATCATTCATTCCAGACTTTCTTCTCCAAGTACAATCTGCTCATCTTGCACAGCCTAACATGGAGAGAATGTATTAGGTGCCCACCTTGAAGGAAATTGGAGGATTGGGACTTAGAGAACTCTGTTACTGTTTCAAAAGTAGTCGCCTTCTTTTGGAGCATGAATTCAAGAAACATGTTTCCTCTCCAAGGGCATCCAAGCAGAAAGGTCTTTGTAAGTTTAGGGATAGATTTTTATGAACAGTATTAGTCATTGTATTTATTAATCTCCTTTAATTTCATTTTCACATGCTGTAATTTTCTGTACCATAAGCCAAATGGAGCCAGGAGGGGTAGATTTCATAAGATACAAATATAGCAATAGCAACAGCATTTAGGCTTATATACCACACCATAGCACTTTACAGCACTCTCTGGGCAATAATGTAAACATTATTTGCATGTTGCCCCCAACAATCTGGGCCCTCATTTTACCGACCTCGGAACGATGGAAGGCTTGAGCCCCATCAGGATCAAACTCCAGGCTGTGGGCAGAGTTTGCCTGCAATACTGCATTCTAACCACTGCGCCACCAGGGCTCCTAATATGGCTAAATAAATAAACATTTAGATGAAGTGAGAGAAGAAGCTACACTTTTAGCTACAGAGGAGGAAAGTGATTGCTCGCTTTACATCTTCTCAGTGTTTGCTGTTATGAATCTCTTCCCATGTTGTGTGGAACCTTAGGCCTATTTGCGGCATTAGATTTGTGGAGGTCCTCCCAAGTCATAAAAAAATTCCACTCTTTTTGTCTAACTAAACTTGCAACAGTAGTAGCTTAAAAAGTGAATTCCACAATAGTTAAAAAATAATTTAACCAGTTTTAAAAACATGCCCATTGAAAAGTCCACACATCCAAAATACTAGAAAACAGAAACAAGCTTTTCATTCTAGCTATATCTATATTTATACAATAGATAGCAGCTTATGGGTATGATTTCCCAAAGGATTTTGGGGAATAGTTTTCGTCTACACTTGAGAACTATAGAAGTCTCATGGAGATGAAACCATATCTAAGCCAACTTGTCTATGGCCCATAAATGACCCTGAAATTGAGACTCACCTTTACTTTTGGTCCTCCTCCCCTTAGTTTTGTCCAATGAAGTACCCTTGAGAAGCTTTCTTTTGGGCATTTTTGGTGCCTCTTCCCTTTCAGACTCCTCCTCTTCCTGCCACTCTTCCTCCTCCTCCTCTTCATCGTCAGAATCCTCTAAAAGTTTGAATAAGTAGAGGTCAATAGATAGAAAATAAAAAGGCAAAGGCTTCTAAGCAATTAAAAGGGGGAAAAACAGAAGAAAAGTATTGCATACAGATAGATTCTGTTAGTAGTGGAGCTAACAATATTCCTGTTCTGTTTGGCAGTAGCTATTGTTATAGTGGTGAAGAATTTGTTCACAGATTACTGCAATTTCACAATTATATTTATCTAATTTGTTGCCTCTAGACGAGATGGGCAGCACATAAATCAATCAATCAAACAAACAAATAAATAAATAAATAAATTTTGCATGATACTTTCACTCCATGTGTGCTACTGGATAGATTAGGGACAGAGATGTCCATTAGGTGTGCTCAAAAAACAGGATGGTGACCACAATCTTGTGATCAATGCTCAGCCTGATTATTTTTTTTTTAATGTTCTTTACCTGGAACACATTTTATATGTGATTACATTGTTCTGGCTGCCATTTTGATTTTATTTTACCATACCACACAGGTGCCCATGATTGGGGAAATGCTATACTTTCAGGATTTGTCAGTTTCATCAGGTTGGTGATTAAATTAATATTTTTAAATTTTCAAAAATTCAAGCATGATAAAAGCAGTTTCCACATTTGTGATGAGTTTTTTTCCCCCAAAGGACAAATCTACAGGCAGAAAAAAAAGCCTGTATATCAATGTTTTTCAAGCTTGCCTGTGCAACAGTGTTTTTCAGACTTGACATGGGCTTCAATTCCCAGAGTGATGTCCGCTCCCACTGGTGCCCCATTCTCCATGCTCCATCTCCCTGCTGGTTGTAGAATTTTGGGAGTTGAAGTCCATACATCTTAAACTTGCCGAGGTTAAGAAACACTGTTCTACAGAAATGTCCTTACTTGTAACATAGGAGGCAGGAGCTGGTGGTACCTTACCGTATTTCTTTTTTGGTGTCTTGCTCACGCTGGAATGAGAAGAAGGGGTTTCCTTCTCTTTTCTGGGCTCCTTAATTAATCTGGCATACGTGATTTTCTCATCCTGTTCTCGTGGCTTCTCCTTTTTAGTTTTTTTTATGTTTCTGACAACAGCTTAGGAAGAGATACTAGAGTCAAGACAGGTATTTGAGAAATGAAGGATGGGGTATAGTGCAGGTATAATATAGACAATGGGATGGCTTTTGAAAAGCAGCAAATACCTTGACTTTTGGGATCAGATTGGGTTGTCCTATGTTTCTCTTGAACTGCGTTGATTATTGAGACAAAAAGATGGCGATATCCCCATTGCTACAGGATACTTTGGATATGCCCTGGCTAATGTGTGTCTGAATGAATTTGATTACAATATGGCATCTGTAGTATTAGGAGCTGATCACATGATGGGAAAACAACATTTTCTAACAGGTTCAGTAGAGATTCTCATAAAATTAGGGGATCCAAAGTACCACACTAGCCATGGAAGGCCATTTCAGTCAAGATTTACTCATTGAAAATATCTTTCTGTAAGTACTCCTCCCTCTTTTGGGCAGCAACTACCTTTGGTCTTAGCATTTTAGCAGTAAAACTAGAAACATCTCTTCTGGAGACATGTAAAATCATGGATGGGGGGGTAGTTTACTCTTACTCTTACTCTTTAAATGGCCTCTTCCTCACTCTACAGGGATTCAAATAGAACCCAATTCTGACATGTGGATTTTCTTTTCTGCTATTGTCCCATCTTGTTTTCTTTTAGATGAGACAGTGGCAAACAGTTGGTTGAAAGTCCCATCTTTTTCACCTACAAAATTTAAACAATCTTTCCCCCAAATACTGAGCTTCTTTAAGTATTAAATTGATTTGACTTCTCTTCAGTGTTCCATTTTATATTATGACATAATAAGAATGAAAGAATTTAAACAACCAACAAGTGTATATTTGTAAAGTCGCTATCATGTCTATACCACGGATAGTATGATTGCACAAAACTGTATCAAAGCTCTTGTTCTGACTATTTTTGCTTTTTTCCCCTTTATGTACTAAACTTATATGCAGATCTTTTTTTCCAGCAGATACAATCAGGTGTTTATTGCTCTTCACAACAAACATATTTGTTAGCTCATTAAATGAAATACTTTATAGAGAATCAACATGGTATAGTGGCTATAGCTTTGGACTAGAACCTAAGAGACAAAGGTTCAAGTCCACCCTCAGCCACAGAACAGTCATTATGGTGAGGAAGGAATATGATGCATATTTACCTTGAGGTAGCATATAAATCTAGCATGTGTAGGAAATAAATATTAATTAGTAAACTTAAAACATTAAAATATCAGCAATCCTACTTTCATCTGCCAAGTGCTTTGATAGAAGGAGATATATTTGTCTATGTACTAAAATTTCATATTTTTTTTAGAAACCCAGGAGAAAGAGAAAGATGGCGGTTATACCCCTGAGTGTGGTTTAGCCATCTTTTCAAGGGGACACGGTGTCTCATGCGGTTAGGACACTGAGTCTGAAGATCATTGAGAAGTCAACAGCTCAGTAGTTCAAAACCCAAAAGTGCGAGCCATGTGACACAATGAGATCCCATCAATTTGACCCAGTTCCTGCCAACTTAGTAGTTCAAAAGCACGCAAATGCAAGTAGATAAATAGGTACCACTTTGGTGGGAAAATAATATGGGCATGAAAGAGGCTCCCTCGGGTGAGCCTTGGGCAATGGTGATGTCACCGGCTAATCCTTTCAACTCGGAAGCCCCTTGGTAGGTGCTTCTGACACAAATGTAATTGTAGCAGTTCCCATCACCCTTCCCCACATGCTTCTTGCCAGTGTGATGACCTGAAAGGTCAGTGATTCTATGGCCGTCTGCTATCAAAAAGAAGATAACAGCATTGAGCTCCTCTTCCTGGACCAATATCTATAGTTCTGGTATGACAATAAACTTTTGCTCCTCCCCTTACTATTAGCTGAAGTGTTATTGGCTTCTTCTGCAGAGCTTGATTTTTCCAGCTTTTTCACTCTGGATTTTTTAGGCTTTGCCTCCAGTGTAGTGTCTTTCAATTTCTTTCTCAGCTTCTGCTCCAGCAGATGGGCAGCTGCAGGTAGAAACAGGTTGCAAAAAGTGATGGAAATGCAGTATCTTAATGATAAAATGGTCTCTACATTGAATTATGTAATTTTACAACATGATAACTATGCTACATAAAGAATACCATCAGTGCCCTCCTACAAAACAAGTATTTCTTTTTAATAAACTTCTGCCCCCAATTGTGTAGTATTGACCACAGGAAAGACGTTCTGATGGGAGCTATGGGCATTTATTGGAAATCTCTACCGGATATTTTTTTAAAATTGCTTAATAAAACTCAAAGAGAAGATACAGCCTTTTACAGTATTACCATATGTGGGATGGACCTCTGTAATTTGCTATGGATCTCGAAAGTTCTACTTCTGGAATCTCTGCATCAAAGCATCTGATAGAGAGTATAGAGGAATACTAAGAAATAGTATTCAAAGTAAAGGTTCAAAACACCAGAGTCTGGGGTAGTGTGGGGACAAAGGACCACATAGAGAGCGGCAGGGGATAAGGGCAGCAAACTGATCATTGACACCAGAGCTGACCTTGATACATTAGGATCCACAAAAACAGTTCCTTCCTTCCTTCCTTCCTTCCTTCCTTCCTTCCTTCCTTCCTTCCTTCCTTCCTTCCTTCCTTCCTTCCTTCCTTCCTTCCTTCCTTCCTTCTTTCCTTCCTTCCACCAGAAATTAAAAATCTGAAAAGATGCTATAAATCTTGCCCTGTAGTGACAGTTTTTCTCCTGTTACCTATGTGTTTCCAACTTTTCTGCCTTTGGTGTATTGATCTAGTCTTTACTGTTAAAAAATACATGAATATATTTATGTTGGTCACAAAAAGCAAAATGAATGTTAAATTTATCCTGAGAACAGAATTTATAAATGGCTGGCTTACAGTATTTGAACTGTAGTTTTGGACCTATGCTTATGAGAACATGTACAGTGGTAAGTGCTGGATGCTTCTGTGTTTGTTAATGTGTGCCCATTTGTGTCACACAAATGCAACTCATACGGGTTGCCTGAAAAAAGGAGGGAGATGTGGGGGATGGTTCTGCATCAAAACCTAAGAACAAACCAGTCTCTTATGATTGCACAGTGTGAAAAGATACTATAACTCAGGCCTACTTACAAGTGAAAAATACCAGGAGAAAAAGTAAATGAGTAATTTCAGAGAGGTTTGCAGTCATGGGCATATTACAAAATAAACAAAGCAGCCAGTACATAAAACCAATCTACGGTTGCCAACCCCACAAGTTAAAAGTTCAGGGTTGATGCCTCTAAAATTATGAGTTGGTGAAAAAGATTTTTTAAAATATAGTTACTAGTTTTTCAAAACATATGAAGTAAGCCATAATCACATTATCATGATTTTCTTGCTAACCAACAGGGTTAGAAATTTAAAGAAGAAAAAAAAAGAGGAAGGAGAGGGGAATGGGAAGCAAAAGTAAATAAAAATAAGAAGGAAGATAATTAAAGCAATGATAATAATAATTACTTTCAACTCAAGTTAAAGTTTTTAAAATTTAAATGATCAAATAAGCTGTTATGACCCCAAATGATATTGGGCTTCATTCATCTCCAATTAAGATAAAAGAAAACGTGATGAAAGTGGGGCTGTGACTATCTGTGGCCATTAAATCAGTTAAGGTTTTGGGGTATCTCTTTGCTGCCATCTAGCGGTCATCCAGATTTTCAGTAGCCGAACTACACCTTGTGAAACCATCCTGTTATGAACAGTGATGAACAGGACAGAGGCAACTCCACCCATCTTGCATGAGCCTTCAATTATATTGTGCTGCACAATGATTAGTCCTACTTTGATGGCTAATGAAACCTATGGAGAAACTAAACTTATTCAGTTTCATAGTAAGTCATAATAAGTAACATAATAAGTTATAAATTTGGTCTCATTGTATCAGCTGGAATTTTACCATAGTCTAATGAATATGTATCATTCTTTATATATTACATGTATGTAACGATATGGTACTGTATATAGGAATTTGCCAGGTATTTTTTTTTGGGAAAATCTTAAGATTACATAAATATAAGTAGTCTAGATGCCTGCTCTATATCCCCATTACTTCTGCTAAAAACTGCTACTTATTAGGTAGATTTGTCTCACATTTAAACTGCAGTACATTAAAATGGATTTGATTGAGTGTGTTATGGCAGGGTTCCCCAACCCCCGGTTTGTGGACCAGCACCAGTCCGCAGCATACCAGCAAGTGGGCCGCACAAACAAGCAAAGCTCCATCCTCGGGATACAGGTAGTATTCAAAACTACACCCCTTCTGGTCCACGGAAAAACCTTTCTCCATGGTACCGGTCCCTGCTGCCCAAAAGGTTGGGGACCTCTGTGTTATGGGATCTCAGCCATTGTCTTAATATGGTGTGTGAAACAAAATATATTATGATATATGAAACTCATGATATGGTTTCTTTTGTTGGTTGGTTTGGGCATAACTTGTTGTGTGAACTCAACAATTACGTTTGATAACCTGATTTCCATAAAGTTGTATAATGGAAAGGTAGTGTTGTGTAAACTCAGTATGTATCCTAGAAGTGAAATCCACCCAGCACATATGTGAATCAGTGTCTATTTCAAATAGGAAGCTCAGCGTCTCAACCCAATTATTGGAAGCCAGGGCAAAACTGGCTGAAGATACTGCACTTGTGAACTATCTCTACTACCTTAGTACACTGAAATAAAGATCTGAAATGTGGCCCAGAAAAGTAGGAATGACTTGTCCCAGATAGGGCAAAAATAGTTCATCAATTATTTGATGGACAACTTTTATTAAGGATCGCTAAATAGCACCAACAAGGACTGAGAAATCTTTGACATGTAGCGCTTAGACATATATGGCTTCATAGTGCATAGTGTAAGTAGAATAATGCCTTTTTTTATTGTCAACCTTTACTCAGGGAATTTCACATTTGATAAACAGTAATAAGGTTTGTAACATTTTTCTAGGCAATGTTTATTACAACTGCAAGAAATCTGACTATTTTTAGACTGTAGTTCTATGCATCTTCTATGACAGTGGTGGCGAACCTATGGCACGGGTGCCAGAGGAGGCACTTGGAGCCCTCTCTGTGGGCACACATGCCGTTGCCCCAGCCTTGCCTCCCCCCCGTGACCCCCGTGACCCCCTCCTCTCCAGCAGCCCCCCTGAAGGAGAGTCACCCTCGAGCGTGGCCCACATGGACCAGCGCAGCCAAGGACATGGCAGCCAGGCAGCGTAGACAAGACTCTGCCCTCACATCCTGCAGTTAATGCTGCAGGGCGCGGGCAGAGGGTGTGGCTGCCATAGCGCTGCTGGGCTGCCTGGGCGATCTGCAGTGGGCCCTGGAGGCGGTGAGTGGTCCTGTGGGCAGGCGGGGCAGGGGATGGGGGGCAGAGCAGGGGCGGGCCAGGGGGGGTGGAGCGGGGCGGGGCCAGTTTTTGGGCACTCAGTCTCTAAAAGGTTCGCCATCACTGTTCTATGAGATCTGCCTTTGCGTAAACATGTTTAGAATTGCACTGAAAACCCTCCACCATGTTTTCTAAGGATGTATGTCCAATTCCTGTATTTGGAATCAATATCTGATGTTCTGCGTTTGATATCTGACAGTATTTGACAGTCAGTCCGTATGGAATCCAAGAAATATAATGTTTATGTTTTTTTCTTGCATCAATAACTTTAAAAGCACATAGGCATATGAGAAGAAGCTGCAGCAATTCAGAAACATCTGGAGTATCCTTCATTAGAATGACATTAATATCTAAAGAGTGCTAATATGAAAAATGGTAGAAAATCTTAACTTCTTGCTACCATTTTCAACACCATCAAGCTTGCTTGAATTTAACTGGCAGCATTTATACAAGTTAATCTCATTGTTAGAGTTACTGATTTAAAAACAAATAAAGACAATAAAGCCTAGAAAATTCCACTCCATAACCAAAGTTTCTTCCTTACGAGCATGCCAAGAAGTTTGAATATTTGAATAAGATAGAAATGATCCTTAAAAGAACTTACCAGTCAGAGTACCAATTGATAGCAAAGAAAGAAAGAAACAAGAAGTTGTTTATTAAATTGGTCAAGTAAGGATATCTCTAACAGGGAGACAGAACATTGCAACTCGGCCTAGATGTTAGAGAAAACACTATGGCTTCATTTGCTTACGGTATGTCATGGCAAGACCAGATGTTATTTCTCTCCAATTGCAGTGATATTCTTTTCAACAAGCCAGTACAAATTTGGGAATATTCCCCAGCTTTTTGTTGCTTTGTAGCTACACTATTGGAACTGTCAGGTATAAGAAGACTTAAGCAGTGAAAGTTATTGATTCCTATTTATTTATTTATTTATTTATTTATTTATGAAATAGCGATGCCCATTTGTTAAAAAAAAAACAAACTCCTATGAGGAAGCAGAATGTTTTAAATATGACTGCAGAGTCTGTATGAAAGCCAGATTATACTGGGATGTGAGACACAACTCCTGAAACATTATTTCTTCTTGAAAGTGGCTATGGAAGGACTCCAGATACAACAACAACAACCCATTCCTTAGGTCTCTAGTGGGAAAAGAGTGTGCATTTCTTTATGGGACAAGGTTAAGGCAGTTATGTCATCTTTGCCTTTAAATGATGGGGCTAATCAACTTGAGCAGGTATTTGCAAACTATAGAAAAGCAAGACTTTTTGACAGGTTTACAAAGTCCTTGATAAATAAGAAAACCTGCAGGCAACGTTGCATTATATAGTTACATACCTAATTTGTGTGTCCCCCAAGCCATGGTGTGTTCCAACATATAGGTTCTTTTCAAATACAAGGAAGCAGAAAGTATCAACATGCTCACCCACTATTAGATGACATAATAAAGGGGTGGAGGTAGAAGACACCACTTTCCACCCATGTATCTTCCTTTGTTACACAATGGCAATGGCATAAGGCTGCAGCACATATGATCAGATATGAATACTCTCTCTCTCTCTCTCTCTCTCTCTCTCTC